CACATGTTTAAAAGTGGTCACCGTAGGGTTTTGGGGTTTAGGGTTTAGGGTTTTAGGGTTTAGGGTTTAGGGTTTAGGGTTTAGGGTTTTAGGGTTTAGGGTTTAGGCTTTAGGGTTTAGGGTTAAAGGAAACAGCAGGTGGGGAGTTTAGGGTAAAAAGGGGCTTCTATAAGGCTTCTATAAGGTATATAGCCACTTCTATAAGGCTCCTATAACCGTAAGTTCTATAAGGTATATAGGCACCTCTATAAGGCTCCTATGACGGTAACTACCCACCTGAAATGTCCTAGACCCTAAACCCTAAACCCTAAGACCTGAACCCTAAACCCTAAGACCTGAACAGAAAGCAAACAGTCGACGCACGGGTGGCTACTGTCTCTCCTCGCAGTTCCGCCGGCGCGGATAAACCCCAAAATCCCTATGGTTTCTCTAAGGGTCCATATGCCCAAATAGTATATATACTTTGGCCACAAAGTCCCTACATAGAGACTACATCAAGGCCAAAGCACTAGTTGACTAGTTGGGCTACGTGGATCCTTAAGGTTTAGGACCCTGCAGGTCCCTTCCTAAACCCTAAAGCCTAAAGCCTAAACCCTGAACCCTCAACCCAAAGCAAACCCTTCAACGCTGCCTCAAACGCTCGGTACATGGACCCTTCGGGTTTAGGAACCCTAAACCCTAAACCCTAAGCCCTACAAACCCCCAACTAGACCCTAAATCCAAACCCTAAGCCCTAATGAAGCCTTAAATACCAAGTTGAACCCCAAGCAACCATAAACAATGAAGCCTAAACCGTACAGCCCATACAACGCGTAAAAATTCCCCCCCGCAAAAGGAACCTTTCGATGAGGGAAGAGAACCCAATCCGTTTTCATGTTTGGGCGGACCGAGGGAGTTGCAGAACCGATGGGAGTTGTACTGCAGCAACAACAAGATCGATGCTGCTCGGGCTGCCATGTGCCTGATGCAGGGTTTAGGATCTATGGTTTAGGGTTTAGGGTTTAGGGTTAGGGTGCCTGTGAAATGGGCCTGGGCAGTTGCATATTGTTATACTCTCCGACTGGTATCGCAATGTTACCCCTAAGCCCTAAACCCTAAACCCTGAACCCTAAAGCCTGAACCCTAAACCCTAAGCCCTAAACCCATTATGTATGGGGGTCTGAATAGTCATTCAGAAGTTCTAGCAATGCTGTCTAAGAAGTAGTGCTCCCCAGGGCCCTCTCTCTCGCAGCCCAATGCTTTTTTGAGTCGCTTCTGGTTTAGGGTTTGTAAACCTTTTTCAGCCTTAAGCCTAAACCAGGGGTTTAGGGTTTAGGGATTTGGAGGTTTTGGGTTTCGGCTTGAGGGATTTCACCTGCAGCATTCCGACAGTCCTCTCCTTCACGTAAATCATGGCATGCGGTCAGGCATTGGGTTTTGGGTTTAGGGTTTAGTGTTTAGGGGTTTAGGGTTTAGGGTTTAGGGTTTAGGGTTTAGGGTTCAGGATTTAGAGTCAAATTGAACCCGTCGACCGCTCAGGTAGCTCATCGAGAGGGTGCTGGAGCGGGCTGGGTGAAGCCTGGTCCCAACAGCTACAAGGTGGGACTTCTCGGACACGTTTCGGAAGGGTTTGGGGTGTATTATACTATAACTATAGTAAGGAACCCTCAGAATAGTATAGGTATTTCTTTAGGCCCCTACGTTAGCACCCAACTACGTTGGCCTGCGCTTCAAGCCCTGCGCCCTTAGTTTCAACCTCACAGTCGACTTAGGGTCTAGTCTAGGGTCGAGGGTTTAGGGTTTAGGGTTGAGGGTTTAGGGTTTAGGGTTTTGGGGTTTAGGGTCGAGGGTTTAGGGTTTAGGGTTGAGGGTTTAGGGTTTTGGGGTTTAGGGTTGAGTCTAGGACATGTTTAGGTGGTTAGTTACCGTTATAGGAGCCTTATAGAAGGTCTATATACCTTATGGAAGCCCTATACACCCTAAGCTCCCCACCTGTAGTTTCCTTTAAGGGTTAGGGTTTACGGGTTTAGGGTTGGGGGGGCCGAAGGTCGACGTAAACATGAACCACGGAAGCCTGGCGCGTTGCCTCAAGACGCTTATGTTTCGATGCTTTTCCTGGGTTAAAGGAAACTACAGGTATTAGGGGTTTAGGGTTCAGGGTTTAGGGTTAAAGGAAACTACAGGTATTAGGGGTTTAGGGTTTAGGGAGAAAGGAAACTACAGGTGGGGAGTTTAGGGTATATAAGGCATTTATAAGGCTTCTATAAGGTATACAAACCTTCTATAAGGCTCCTATAGCCGTAACTACCCACCTGAAAAATGTCCTAGACTGGGCTCCTGCCAAGCCCCAAGCCCTAAGCCCAAACCTAGGTCGCCCCGTAGTACTCTTAGGCCTCCCTGTAAGACTGAATCAATAGGAGTAATGGCATCCGCGTTCTTACCCAGAGCCCACTACTCCTTACTTGAGGCATATACTTCAAATGATAATATGTTTGCCCCCCATAACTTAAGGTATGCTTGAAGAATAGACCTGGGTTGATAACATTAAGGTCTACATAAATTAGCGTATGCTTGAGGAACAAGCCTTAACTGATAGTATCAAGGCCCGCACATAATCTAAGGTATAATTAAAGAACATACCTTATATGAGAACATTAAGACCCAGACAACGTAGATTGAGGTATAATTGAGGAGTATACCTTAACGGAGACTGTTAAGGCCCAGATAACTGCAGATACACGGGAGGAGTCAACCTTCACTGGTCATACTGTTGATGGACAAAATCCTGCATGACCCAAATATAGTATAGTACCATAAATCCCATAGTTTAGGTATATAAGGTCATGCAGGATTTTGTCCATCAACAGTATAAAGGGCTGCACATGACTTAATTCGAGGGCCCCTTGTCCTTCCTTTCTGGGTACAAGGTGGAGCGGGGGGACTTGGGCCTAAACCCTAATTCCCCAACTCGAATATAGCAGGCAATTGAATTACTATGTCATTCTTTGGGGGTCCTCATTATTATTAAACTACATACAGTCATGTTATTCTTTTGAACCTAACGTCCCCTATGTGGAACCTTTTCGTCTTCGGCCCTGAGGCGAAAGCCAAGCGCATTTTCGGCGCAGACAAGGCTCGCTCGGAGTTGGCATCGTTCTATCTGAGGGTTCAGGGTTTAGGTTTTGGGTTTAGGGTTTAGGGTTTAGGGTTTAGGGTTTACGGTTTAGGGTTTAGGGTTTAGGGTTTAGTTGTTGGGAGTCTTGTGGGGGTTGCTTCTGGTCATTTTTTGGGCAGTGTAGACCCCTGATCAAGAAAAATGCCTCCCTGCTGTACAATTCAGGCCCCTTCCTAGAACTCTCAACGCTAAACCCTCAACCCCCAGCCTTAAACCCCGAACCCTGAACCCTAAACCCCAAACCTTAAATCCGAAACCCCAAAACCCAAACCCTCAACCCCAAAACCCAAACCACTCAACCCTGAAGCCCAAACCTTAAACCCGACACCCCCAAACCCAAACCACTCAACCCTAAACCCCAAACGTTAAACCCGACACCCCAAACCCAAACCACTCAGCCCTGAAGCCCAAACCTTAAACCCGACACCCCCAAACCCGGGATCTGCATCAAATGCCGCCTAGCCCAAGGCCTCGATTGGATCAGAAGCGGCTCGCTACTGCTCCTTCCGTGCCTGGATGCGTAGAGCTATTGCCAACAGTGTTCCCTTATAGTCCCTAGATGACTTAGGGCTTAGGTGGTAGTATAAGGGGCAATAAATACCAATATTATCCTGACATATCCTGAGGGTTCCTGATGATAGTTATAGTACGGATTTACTTGACATCCTTTTCCCAACACCTAAACCCTAAGCCCTAAATCAACACTTACGACCCTACATAGCGGACTTGGCACGAGGGTTCGGATCCTGAAAGGATTCATACGGCTCAAAGCCGCTTTGGTGCTTCGGGATCTTCCCTAAATCCCACACCTAATACCTTAGTGCTGTAATATATAGGGGCCTTATATTAATTACCCGCACTATTTTGGGGTTCCTTGTTCTAATTATAGTTTAGCATACCCCAAAACCCTGTTCTGTTTATTAAGGCCCTTGCTCTAATTACAGTATAGTACGTATAGTATACTCCAAAACCCTATTCTGATTATTAAGGCCCCTACATTAGTATCTCAAGGCTGTATGGTGGATGGCGTGTGGCGAGATGACATCTCCTTCAGCAAGATAGCGGTTAAAGGGACCCTAAACCCTAAACCCTAAACCCTGAACCCGTAAAGGGACCTGTGAAGTGACCCTTTTAGGGGTTTAGGGTTTAGGGTCTCATTGGCCCTCTGGATTTCTGTTGCAAGCATGCTTCTGGAGTTTCGTGGAGCCTCATATTGAGCCTTACAAATGCGAAGCGTCTTGGGGGCGTATGATAGTCAAGTGATCTAGGGGCTGTAGTTCTCTAAGGGAATATCGCTACTTGAAACCCCTCCTGCTCCACAGCAAGTCGGGAGACAGTTTTTGCGTAGCGCCCAATGCAGTAACAGTGCCCGAGGTATGCTGCCCAAGCCCGCGATCAGCTTCCGGACGCTGCACTCCAAAGGCAGCTTTGTGAGTACATTCGCAAGTTTATTCCATGCCTTCGGCTGTTCTCGTCGCCACAGTTCTCATTCCACACGACGAGACTCAGACACGAATACAGACGTGTGCGCTGATAATGTTGTATCCTTGAACAAAGTGACCCTTACAGCAAATTTTGAAAGGAGAAAAACCAAAACCCAAAACCTAAGGTTTTAGCCCAAAGCCCCAAGCCCTTAACCCTAAACCCAAAACCCTAAACCCTAAACCCTAAAACCCGAAGCCCTAAACAAAAAAAACCCTAAAGCCATAAACCCTTGCGGGAACCCTGAAGCCTGAAGGGGCGGGGAAGTTCTGTTCATTCTTTTGATGGACAAAATTCTGCATGACCCAAAATATAGTATAGTACCATTAATCCCATAGTTTAGGTCATGCAGGATTTTGTCCCCTAAACCCTAAACCCTAAACCCTAAACCCTAAACCCATAGTATAAGGTCATGCAGGATTTTGTCCATCAACCGTTGCAGGCCTCTTTGGTCAGATCGAGCTGGGCACGGAGGACCTGATGCCTCGTTGTGAATGCATAGGTCTTGGGGGTTTGGGGTTTAGGGTTTAGGGGTTTAGGGTTTAGGGTTTAGGGTTTGGGGGTTTGGAGGTTGCAGTCACTTTATAGCTTTATCACTTTTAGGATTAGCCTTCTTGATATTAGGGGTACTAGAAAGTTATAATTTTAGCAGGGTAGTAAAGAGCACCCAAGCATAGGTCTTGGGGGTTTAGGGTTTAGGGTTTAGGTCTTGGGGGTTTAGGGTTTAGGGTTTCAGGGGTTTAGGGGTTTAGCGGTTTAGGGTTTAGGGTTAAGGTTTTTAGGGTCTAGGGCTTTAGTGTTTAGGGTTTTAGAGTTTTAGGGTTCAGGGTTTAGGGTTTTAGGGTTTAGGGTTTAGGGTTTCTTGGTTTTCAACATTAGGGGTAGCTTTGATTATGTAGAAGTTCTGACATTCAGGACTTGATTCGGTGTTGTTCGGGGTCTTGATTGGCGTCTTTCCACTTTTCTGAAACTCTCAGATAACGCGTGATCCCCGAAACCCGAAAGCCCTTAAGCGCTTTCTTGTTCCATTTAGGGTTTAGGGTTAAAGGCACCCTAAACCCCAAACCCTAAAGCCCTTAACCCTTAAAACTCTACTGCCTGGCAGCCTAAACCCTAAAGCCCTTAACCCTGAAAACTCTGCTGCCTGGCACCCTAAACCCTAAACCCTAAACCCTAAGCCCTAAACCTAAACCTTAAACCCTAAACCCTAAACCCTAAACCTTAAACCCTAACCCCTAAACCCTAAAGCCTAAACCCTAAACCTTAAACACTAAACCATAAACCCTAAACCCTAAACCCTAAACCCTAAACCCTCTGGAGGAGTTCAACACGCGCTTCAGAGACGCGGGCACTGGCAACCTGGCAAGGAGATACAGGGACCCCGGGTTTGCGGGGTTTGGGTTTCGGGCTTAGGGTTCGGGGTTTAAGGTTTAAGGTTTAGGGTTTAGGGCTTACGGTTTAGGGTTTTAGGGTTTAGGGTCCAAGTTTTAGGGTTTAGGGTTGAAGTTTTAGGGTTCAAGTTGCTGGGTTTCAGGTTTAGGGTTTAGGGTTTGGGGTTTTGGGATTTGGCTTTGGGGCCCAGGGAGGGTTTAGGGTTGAGGCGGTTTAGGGAGGCTTTAGGGTTTAGGGTTTAGGGTTTAGCATTTAAGGTTTGGGGTTTAGGGTTTAAGGTTTAGGATTTCAGGTTTAGGGTTTAGGGTTTAAGGTTTGGGGTATCGGGTTTAGGGTTTTAGGGAGAGGCCGCCAACTCCATCGGGACAGTGATGAGGAGTTGCTGTTCAAGGGAAGTTTGGAGGAGTTTGTACCTAAACCTAAACCCTAAACCCT